TCTGTTCCCCTTTCGGGCTTGAACTGATGGTAAAACTAATGACATTATTTACTGTCTTTACATTTATTTTGAAAGATGAAGCTCGCGATTATGGTAAGGGGCGTTACATTTCCGACGAGTGCTTGCGGTGTTCAGCCAATCACAATGCACTGGGTCAGCTGGCCAATCAGAGCAGACTGCACTTGTCGGAAGGAGGGACTTTGTAGAAAACGAAGCGTTTGAGAGAGGCGGGGCATAGAGGACCTACAATAATGTACAGTATTTGAAAAATAATGTGCTTTTTTGAACATTAAAGCATGTCAACATATTCTGTTACACCAAATACACAAAATAATGATCTTTAAAAAAGCATCATATGACCCCTTTAAGCAAGCATGACTAGAATGAGGCTAAAACATTACTGCCCCCTGCTGCTTAAGACTAAAAACATCTTGTACTATTTCAGACTGTGATCAACACCATGTGTGGTTTTGGGGTTCAAACACAAAACCACCTGGACACCACTAAATCGATCTATCCGGTGGGCTGTGCAGACAGAGCTGTAATATGGATTGAATCTCACCTGCTGTTAGTTGGGGCGCTCACGCTGGGTCTTGCTTTACCACAGGTAACATTTAGCTTGTGAGTGATTTCAGTTTCTCAGACAGATCATGGATGCTGATTGGTCAATATAGCAGGATTGTTAAACATTGCTGCACAAACAAAAATTGGACTGAATAGTAATGTAATATTACTGCTTTAGCAATCAATATTTAATGGATAGTCCACCCCAAAAAAAAAAACTTACCATGAAGTTGTTTACAACTCGTATGCGTTTCTTTCTTCTGTTGAACATAATTAGATATTTAGAAAAATATGGGTAACTAAACAATTGAACCAAACAATCCCATTGACTGAGAATGGAGGAAAAACACTACAGTCACTGGGGACTACCCACATTCATCAAAATATGTTCTTTCATGTTTCATCAGAAGAAAGAAACTCATACAGGTTTGGAACAATTTAAGGGTGAGTAAATGTTTACACAACTGGGTGAACTGTCCCATTAACCTTTAAATTAACGTAGGATAACATACATAGTACATAACAACCCATCTGCCAAACCATGTTTTTGCCTAAATCACTAGTTTAAGCCTATAACAATTAGTTGTGTTTTAGAGTCGTCATGATGGATTTCTCTGGAAACCTCAAACTTCTATGTAAATAAAAAAAAGGTCAGGCAGCAATATTCAGTGGAAGGTGTCATAGCAAGAAAGAAGGTGTCAAGAAAAGCATTTGCAAGCAAAAAGGGAAAACAAGTGCCTGTAATAAATTATGAATAAACATTGCGTAGCACAGTTAGCATAGCATCACGTTTGCAGTTCAACGACTAGGTTCGAAATCTGTTTATAATGGAAACAATGTCAGGTTCTAAATAGCCAAGTATTTCGTTATTTCTGTTTTACCTTACGCAATCATTATGAGTAGTGTCAGCATGGGGAATGCCAAACTTTTGTAACCTTGTTTTCAACAAGTCAAAACAGCGTGCATTGGTGCGCCTCACGTCATCAGATTCATCCGCGCAAAACAGCAGAGCCGAAGCACAATTCAAGAGACCATGTTCATCCGCAAGTAACTTGTAGTTTTATGCTTCATAGTGTATCATTAAATTTACCTTTCAGATTAAAACAATTCCCTCACCATCCATTCTCCAATCCATTTGTCCTTTGTAGGTTCGTGGCAGTATTCTTGCAAATGTGGGTATTGTGACAGGCCCTTAGTTTGTGAATTACAAGTGTCACAGTGTAACTTTTTTTTGCATGTGACTAAAATTGCATCAGTAGGTGGTGACCATTTTTTAAGTAATTGAATCATTCAGCCAGTTTATTCAAAACAAGCTGATTCATTCAGAGACAAAACATATAATTGTCTTTGAGTGAGCGAGTTTTTCAATCATTCAGTCAACCATTCAGATTTTATTCAGAAATGAAGAAAAAAAAAAAACGTTTGATCAGAGCCTCACAATGGTCCATACTGCAGTGGCTTTGTTAGAACCCATTTTCATTGGTGGAGCAGAAACAAAGTAACTGGCAATATCGTGTCTGTTCATTATAAATCAGTGAAGCACATATCTGTGTGTGTGACCTTTTTAATAATTCATATAATTAAGGATATAGATACAGACACCCTGAATTACACACACATTCCCAAGACACAGTCAAATGTAATTCAACAAATCCATGCACCTCCAATATATATATATCATCTTTTAAGATTGAGGTTCTTTTTTAAATGAATGTTGTGTATTCGTATCCCGTATCACTGAATGCAATGAACTGCATTTCCATTCATGAATTTTTCAGTGGGTGTTGGGCAGAAACAGAAATTACTATCCTCTCTCCATGCACACTGCTGTCCTGACACAGTTCTTCTGTTTGATCTACAGATCGCAGGCATCGTTCTGTCTCAGATCCTCATTTCTGAGATCCAGAAAGAGATCGGATCCGTCATGTAGAACCAGCAATCACCTGCAGTGCCGCCAAACTCTCTCACATTCTGGAGTGATGCTTTCATTCTGCACTGACTGCTCTCACACTTCCAGCACAATTTCCTATCAGTTTCATTTCACTATGCCTCGGAGCCAGTTCTTATTTATTTGCCATTGTGGTTTACATTTTTTCTGCTATTTGATAAAAAAAAAGTTTGTCTGTAAAGCTTGTGCGGTTGTTTATTTCTTCATTACAAATTCAAAAGTCTGGAGGCATAGTTGCAAGTTTATTTTTAATGCATACAGCACTGAATAATCACGGTCATTTGTTGCATGCCTACTGTTCGGACTTGATTAACACGTAACGCAAAACGAAAATCTTTTCAAAGACATTCAATTTCGTTTATGTCTTGCGATGTAGAAGGAAGAGACCAGACTAACAGTTTAACACTGCTGGAGGAGTGCACCCATTAAACACAAGACTTTGCTCAGTGCAAACTCTTGGGCTGTACTCAGGCTCTCTGATCTGATGTCTACAGTTAAATGTGTTAGGAAAGCAGCTCGTAATTAAACCAACAGAGAACAGGCTGTTAACCGTGAAGGGAATGGGGTCTGAATTTAAACATGTAAGGAGTGGGCTCTCTGGATCAGCCGGTCTGTGAGCAGGGAGTTTGGCCGCACTGCATCTCTCTCGATCAGCATGCATCTAGGGACAAAAATACACAACACCTGCTTCCTCAGAAAGAGTCCAAGAAAATCCCTGCAGGAGAACATTTCTGTCTGAATGAGGCATTTTAAAAATATTCACATGCACTTTTTATGCACAACCTGTGTAGAACAGGTGGGAGTTTGCGATTTGGAAGAGTTTGGATTTATGAGCACTGCATACTAATGAAATGCAACATGAAAATTTACGTTTGAATCTGAATTACACTGAAATACCTGGCATCCACAGACAGTTTGGTTATAATTAGCACATCACCTGACATGACAATTCATCTTTAATGGGAAACCTGTGGCCTTGTATGGCAGTTTTATTCATTTCTCCATGAAAATGACTGTGCACTTCTGTTGTGTGCCTTTGTTCACAACCAGTTCAAAGAATGCAGAGAATTTTCACACATTTTTCTTTTTTAAAAGGCCATGGCTTTTGATCTATTATACTCTTCAGTTAACAAAAGTTATTATTATTTTTTTTTTTTGTTATTTAGTTAGTTATATATTAACTAACACAGATTAGTTAATAGCGACTAGAAGACAAAACATTAATCAGTTCCCTTAAAATTCCCAAGTTGAGAAACCCAGGTTTAAAGGAACGTTCCCATAACATAAAATTCAAACTCTATCAAATGCAATTTTTTATTTTTCCCACCCACAACAAACAAAAAATGCATGAAGTTTACTCAAAACAATAAAAATAATAGATAGACAGACAGACAGACAGGCAGACAGACAGACGGAGAGAGAGACAGACAGACAGACGGAGAGACAGACAGACAGACGGAGAGAGAGACAGACAGATGGAGGGACAGACAGATGGAGAGAGAGACAGACAGACGGACAGACGGAGAGAGAGACAGACAGACAGAGAGAGAGACAGACAGATGGAGAGACAGACAGACAGAGAGAGAGACAGACAGACGGAGAGACAGACAGACAGACGGAGAGAGACAGACAGACGGAGGGACAGACGGACAGACAGACAGACAGATGGAGAGAGACAGACAGACGGACGGACAGACGGAGAGAGAGACAGACAGACGGAGAGACAGACAGATGGACAGACAGACAGACAGGCAGACGGAGAGACAGACAGACAGATGGAGAGACAGACAGACAGACAGATGGAGAGAGAGACGGAGAGACAGACAGACAGACGGTGAGACAGACGGAGAGACAGAGGGAGAGACAGACAGACAGACAGACAGATAGATAGATAGATAGACAGATAGACAGATAGATAGTAAATCAATAAATAAGTTTCTTTTTTATTTCACAGTGACATCTACAACATAATAAAACAAAATATAAATAAAATTAGATTTATTTATTTATTTACTTGTCTCAATGAAGCTGTTTGACAAATACATTAATATATTTCATCAGACAAAAAATGTTAACTGTAAAAATATTAATTGATTTTTTTTTTTTATTGTAACTGTGGAACATATGAACATACCTGTTTTGTCAAATAACATCATTTATTATTATTATTATTATTATCTTAAAGATTTGATCTTATCTTTTCAAATTTTTTTCTTTAAAGTGCAGCATAAAAGCACAAAAGACAACAAATGAGCTATTTGAAAAGCATTTTTCACTTAGAAGGGTATAACACAACGTTTACCTGGCAAATCGTTGGTGTTCTTTGTCTCCAGACTTCATGGCAGCATGAATAAGGAGCTGACTGAAAACATCTCTCTGGAGAAGAACAAATAAAGAGGTTGTTTAGAATGGAAACACTGCTTATCTTATTCGTACTATAGTGCTGTGGTGAAAGACCTGTGCGTCACTGCCCCCTATCTCTACAAAGCGGTCTTTGATGGGTTTGAGCAGCTCCACGGCCTGGCTGTAGTTTCCCTGGTCATACTCCAGCAGAGCCTGACACATGGGCAGCCCCACACACTCGGCTATCTGGAGCTGATGGTTCTCAGCTGGGTCTCTGAAGGAGGAAAAGTGTTAAAATGGTCATTTCTGTCATCATTTAATCATTCCTTGTACAACAAATACAACTTTTTTGGAGTTTGCGAGCCCCTGGTCAATGTATGTTAACCGCAGCATGAATGTGAACTGACTTTTTATTCAAAACATTTTATTCAAGAAAATTATATAGTTTTATATCAAATGTTTAGAAGCTTTATTAATTGTTTAGACCATAGGTTTTCAAACTGTCCACAAAAAGGTTGAAGACAAAGCTAAAATAGTGTTAATTTATAAATAAATCAATAATTATTATTAATAATATAATATTATTTATCATTATTATTATTAATATTTACATTTATAATTTTATATAATTTAGTAATTACATACAAGTTAAGGGGCCATTCACACAGAATGCGTTTTTGTGCTGCATTGTTTTTCAATGTAAATATGTGCTAAACGGATCTCACAATGGATCGCAAAAATGTGAGACGCAGAGCACTGGAACAAAAAACAAAGTACGGTCTAGAGGCGTTTTTTTTTTTAAGTTTAAAAGAGACATTGCAATAGATGCAAGACATGAACGCAATGGTCAAACACATCTGTCTACCGTGTGTTTACATAGAAAAATAATGGAAAAGTAGGATTCTGTGTGAACAGCCCCTAATATGGTTTAATTCTGCTTTATAAAATTAATTGAAATCAAAATTATTTTATTCTACTGATATATTAAGCCATAGTTTTGTTTGTTACTCAACATTACCTTAATGCTGAGTAGAAATAGTGTCAACTTAATAGATACTAAATATTTTGCAGATTTTACACATATTTATAATGTTTTGAATTTTCACAGCATACATTTGTGCAGTACATGAAAATACATAACTGCCTTTTATATATATATATATATTTTTTTTTTAGATTTTAGGTGGTCTGGTCTTTTTTTTTTTTTGTTAAATTGTTACCAAAAGCCTAAAGATAAAGAGTGGGTAACGAAAAACATTGTGCACTTTGTGAAAACACTGTCTTCTTTGAACAGATGCTGTGCTGAAAATACAGCTCCCAGAGGATTCTTCTCCATCATGCTATCTTATAAAACACAGCATGCTGACAAGAAATTTATTTTTGTACTCTGTGATACTTTCGATACACTCTGTGTTCATTCTGTACAACCTTTCCTGGACGTTTGTTTTGGCTGCTATGACAAATTGGAATGAATATGCATGCAGCGCATCAGCCTTGAAAACACTAGTCTTCCCCAGAGCAGGGACATTTCTTAGAAATCTCACACGGAGCCTGAAGACACGGTACATTCATCCACAACTCGGCCTCCACAAACTCCCACCCGTGAGCAGAACCTGGCTGCAATGTAATCTCTTGAGTGGGTTATGTAATGTTTGAGGCTCACTTAGCTAGTTCCTGGAGACTCTCCAGCAGGCGCTGAGTGGTGGCGGTCTCCTTGCTACCCAGGGAAACCATGAGGAAGTGCAGGTCATTAAAAAGTAACGTGTGGTCTTCTGTATGTGGCTGGGTCACCTGCAGCAGCTCTCGGTAGCGGTCCTTCACGCTCACACCTGCAATGAAAAACATTTTATACACACAAACAAACAGCTGCACCACTTTGGGTGCATTTCAGCACGAAAACCTGCCTCTTATTCAACCATAATGCAACACATCCAGTTTCACATCCCAGCTCATCAGTGTTTCTGAACCATGCCTACAGGCAGCTAAACCAGCCAGACAGAGAGGGACGCTTCACTGGCTGCTACCAGCTTCCCTCCAGATGTCTCAAGGTGCAGTCACGATAGACTTCACACTCCATCCATTTTCATTCATACGCATGTGAAAGTTCCATGTTTGCGAACCAAAGTTCAAGTGAACTCTGTCCTGCGAATTAGCATAGTATAAAAACTTTTGAGCACTTTAGAGTTATTTACAGAACACACAAACTTGCATGGTTTGATGCTTTAGAATGGACTTCAGAGGCTACTTTATTAATAACTTTTTTTTTTCTAAATAAACACGACTACAGTACATACTGGTTAGTGCTTCTCTAAAACTGCTTGAAAATATGTTTGTTTTCTGAAAAGCTTTATAAAAACTGACTATACTTTTCAGCAAAGACTTTAAACGCATCCTTGAAAACAGATCATGACATTCTGTACTTCAACTGTGCCCATAAATAGGCTAAATATAAAAAGAGCAGGAGCAGTTTTATGTAACGTTAGCCATTTTTCAAACCAGATCACCCTAAGATCAAGAGGAGAAAGGTTGAACTCCCCTTTATCTTCTATTTATCTTCTCTGTGGAATGTCACAAATCCTCATGTCCCAAAAGATAAAATATCTTCTAGATGACTGGCTGAACTTCACAGATTGCACTGTAAATGTCTCTACCTGCAACTACATGTTCCACAAGGAAACATGAAGGGAAACATGTTTTTTTTTTTTTTTTCAAGCCTTTCCAAGGAACTTGACTGCAAAAATTGTTTTCTTAATCAGTACTTTTGCTATGTCTAAACTTGAGATGCAAAATTGTTTAATATAATAGTTTTTCCTTTTTTTGTGTGTTTTAAACATAAATCAAGACATTTTTTAAATATAAATACAGATTAGTTATTTTATTTTATAACAGATTCATGTGTCTGTTTCTGTTTAGCAACAGCCCGGTCCTGTTGTTTACAGTACAAGCAATGCCCACATTTTAAACCCCAGCCATCTGCTGTTTTCACCAATCTAGTTCTTTACCCAAAATACACTCGTTTTCAAGGTTCAGAAGCATGCCTAACAACATTCAAGTGCTTTTCACATCACATCACGGCTTTTCAACACAGCAGATTCACATGTTATATTCCAGCGCAGACTTCAGACACAACCTGCCTTGATTAAACGGTCAAATGCAAATGTGTTCAGCATGCTCTGGCTGTTGATGGATTCCTACCAGAAATAGACTCAACCTCCTGCTCAGAAACAGTGAGTTGTACTGTTTTCAATCTCTATTTTGAGACTGGATGATATCTCACCCTCCAGCTCTAGTCTGTAGAGCAATGAACAAGAGTCTACGACGTCCAGCATGGCTCCAGACTTCACACTGCGCCGAGAAACCTGGAGAAAGGTTTCAAATGTCACATTACCACTAACAATCTCAATTTTCATTCAAATTATTACATTATATAATGACTTTGACAGGTCACGAAACTAAGTCATATACTGAATAATTCAGATAAATAATTCTAACTAATTCCATATACAGTGGGTACGGAAAGTATTCAGACCCCCTTAAATTTTTCACTCTTTGTTATATTGCAGCCATGCCCCTTTATAATCAACAGGTTTGACGATTTCAGCTATATCCATTGCGAACAGGTGCATAAAATCAAGCATACGGAGTATGTAGAGGCCATAATTTTAAATATAATGCAGTGTATGTATTCTCTTCTAGCATAGTTGGCAAAAACAAATGTCCATACTAGAATGATTTCATGAAAGAACTTGACTGGCTTGCACAAAGCCCAGACCTGAACTTAAACATCACTACCTAAAATGCTTGATGCATGAAAGGAAGTAAATCTCCACATCCAAGATCCAACATACATGGAAAGCCTTCACAGAAGTGTGGAAGAAAATACAGCAGCAAAGGGAGGCCCAACTCCATATTAATATTACATTTTCAACAAGCACAGATGTGTTCTGGTGGTCTCAAACGTCTGGCCATGTAAAATCGCAATACACTACTTTAACTACTGGGATTTATATAACTGAGCTGATTTAAGTTATGTAATGTTTGTTAATGGCTTATGAAAGTTATTAAGGCGTGTTATCTACATTTTTAACAACTTTCTAAATATAAAGTGCTCTTCTTAAGAGTGCTGTGGCTTCACTTGACTGACTAAATGCACCTGCTGAGATCACATCACATCAACCCTCCCATTCAAGATAAAGATTTTACAAAATAAAGAATTATCAGTTACATAATTGCTTTAGACTTTAGTTTCACAGCTTTCAATATTCTAATTTCCATTTACTGACGGTCGGTTGAGAGTGTGCCCCTGCTTATATATTCAAGAGAGTGTAGCCAAAAGATTTTGCCCTGACACCCATATGCTCCTGTCTACATCAGTTCAACTTTCCCCAGCCTGAATCCGTCACATTCCATATGGAACACATGACAGGATTCACACTTCTCCTCTGGTGTGACTAATTACATTCACTACATGCCTGCAAAATGTATCATACACTTGAAAAATAAGTACTGTGGTGGTACCACGGGTGGTATCAGATGCCACTATCTTTGATATACACTGAATGCTGTGCCTTGTTATTGACACGTCAAAGAATACCATGCTACTACCATGATACGCAGAAAAAAAAAATTATATTGGAAACCACCGTAGTACCATGCCACTTCTTTGTTAGCAAATATAATGTTAGTGGCAAGAGCTCAGCAGTGCACTGACCTGCTCATCAAAAATCTTCAAAGCTGCTTCATAATTACCCTGTGGAAAAAAAACTATTCACTAAATAAATAAAATTAACGTGTGAGTGAAAAAAAATGAAAATGGCAAAAATAAATAAATACAAATATATATATAACAATGTAATCCACTCAATATTATCTTGTTGTATAAAATCAATATCACACATTCACGATGGCTGATATTCGGGAAAGCAGCATTCTTGCTTGCGTGACATTACTAAACTATATCATATCTTACAAAAATATATATATATATATAAAAAGACAAAGCATAAACTAAAATCTTTCTCTGGCCAAGAAAAAAAGAAAAGAAAATTCTAATTTTTCCACATGGATAAATGTTTTGAAAAAATGTGTTTTAAAGTAATAAAGTAAAAAGTAATAACAATTTTTTGCATCCCATGTTGTTAGAATTTTACCTTTTCAATATGATATAGAGCCCAGTGCCAGTAATTATGACATGCCAGCATGTCACACACCTTTAGGGGAGATATAACACTATATGACCAAAGTTTTTACAATCACAGTGTGCTTCTACATGTTAATCTTTATATGTTCTGGATGGTATTTCTGACCATCCAGTCTTTCTCTGTAGAGGCCATGAACTTCAGTCCCTTGTCCATCTCTGCCTTCATCTCATGGACATGAGCCACAGCGTGGACACTCCATCCGTCCTCAGGGGTCAGAGCCAGGGCCTGCAGGCACAATGAATTACAATAATGGTGCATTCAGTTAATGATATTTATAAAGCAGAAAATACTTTTAGTAATTACCTTTAAATATAAGTTTATTTACTTGTTTGTTGGTATAAAATTATAAGTAAAAAAAAAAAGAAATTAAAATATAAGAAATTAAATAGTTCTAATTTTCTGTGTGGGGAACTATAAAATATTCATTGTCCAGTACACTACATTTTATTGGACTTGTGAAAATGAAATCTGATATTATTCTGTTTTTTCAACAGTTTTGCAAGACAAGAACAGCACATTTACTATGTCTACTGCATGACAAAGAGGTTTATCAGATAAAATATGAATATAATCATAATTAATAATGCATGATTTATAGCTTAATTAGTCATTTTTTACATTATAGTGCCATAACAAAGTAGTGAGCAATACTAATGAACAACATAAATGTAATATGCAGTTAAACAAAACTACCTCTTTTGCCATTTTTTCAGCTTCATCATACAAACGAGTCTCAAGAAGCCCAAAGGAATACATCCCTTTAAGATAACTGGAAAAAAACAGAAAACATCCAATGAAAACATCATACTGTATATACTATAGTACAATATATATTTTACAAGTAATTCACAACTCATCACATGGTAAAGTGCTATGCATCCCAAGACAGCATTGGTGGAGCACTGGCCGGGCACCTGCCTGTAGAATGGCATATGCGGTTTCCAGTGGGGCAGAACCCTGGCCACCGAGTCCCTCATCTCAGTCTGTTCACCCAGGTAGAAGAATCCATCATGGGCAAACTTCAGTGCCAGCATGTCTGTGGGGTGATCCACCAAAATACCCTTCCAAACCTCACAGGCCTTGTGCAGGGCTCTGAAACACACCATTCAATCTACTTCATCCATAACAATTCATTTGACATTTACAAATGTATGTTTTTTTAGTAGCATGTATATACTATTATAGTATTTTTTCATGTTTAATTAGCTTTTATTTTTATATTTTCATTTTAATTTATTTGAAGTTTTAATAACCGTTTTGATTTTTTTTATATTTCTATTTACCTTTTTTAAATGTAATTTTAGTACTTCAACTTCAACTTATCTCAGCACTACTAATAATTCACCATTTCTAATGATCATTTTTTCGTTGTATATTTATATTTTATTTCAGCTTTATTTCAATGACTGAATATGATTTTAAATAGTTCTAGTTTATGATAACACTGTACTAAAGTTAAAATTATTCTGACGACAGTCCTTTTCAAATCAGAATTTTTTTTACCACCCAAAATGTAAAAAAAACTAAAATTAAATTAGTCACCTCCGATGACCCCTCTGTTAAAAGTGCTCCTTTGACAAAATACTCTTGGTTTTACTAAAGCAAATTCATTAGTGCTGAGAACAGAAATTATTGGAAAACGTCTGTACGAAGGTTTCTTTATTCAAGAATTTTAATCAGGCTTACATTTTCATATGACAGTCACACTCTTTTCCGCCCAAGGATACAAGTGAGCATGAATCTTAAAAGAACCAATTCATAACTGCTTGTGGGCCGAAGGCAACTTTGCTTAAAATGAATCAGAAAAAGACCTCCATTTACAACATTGGCTGCAAAATCGCCATAAAAATACAGAAAATCCTTTTATTGAGTGGGCAGATGTGAAACGTTCATAATGTCACCTGTTGAATGTTCTCATGCACTCACCCTTTAGAGAAGAGCTCCACGGCTTTCACATGGTTCCTCTCTCTAGACGTGAGCTCCTGAGTGTTGGCCAACTCCACAGTCCTCCTCACAGCGCTGGCCAATCTCTCGTCCCGTAGGACTGAACTTCCTGTTCCCACCAACTCCAGCCCAGTAGAGATCACATGACCCATCACTGCAGCACAGAGAAGACACTAATGAGGACTTAGGAAAGCCTTGGCTGGCTTGTATCACTGTGAAGGAGTTTATCTTGCGATAATGACTAGCTGAATGCACATTATCACACTTATTACATGGCTACTTACCAAATAAACACAAAAATACTTAAATATTATGTGAGAAATCCCTGTGGGATGATATCAAAACAATGTGATAGCAGAATACCACAACTGAAATCCAGAAACCACTTAATATTTACAATTTTTTTTTTTTTTTTTTTTTTACAATGGCTTTTAACAGACTACAATGGTCAGTGTTGCAATCACATACCAAAGTCCAGGTCTGCAGCTTTGACGGCTGTAATACAGCCTTCTATTCCTCCCAGTGTCTCATTATTACGCCAGGACACATACTGATCACCAGAGACAGAAATATTCAGGTTAGTTATTTACAATTTTTTTTTTTTTTTTTTTTTACAATGGCTTTTAACAGACTACAATGGTCAGTGTTGCAATCACATACCAAAGTCCAGGTCTGCAGCTTTGACGGCTGTAATACAGCCTTCTATTCCTCCCAGTGTCTCATTATTACGCCAGGACACATACTGATCACCAGAGACAGAAATATTCAGGTTAGTTATACAAATACACGCAGTTATCAGTATCAGCATATGCATATGTACCTGAGACAGTATAGCATCGTATAGTTTACAGGCCTCATTACTGCTGGTGGACAGTGGCAGACCTTCTGATTTCCATGCCTGACAACACATGCACAACAGAAATGATACACTGTATGAAGTGTAATTGAAATTTGTTGGCCTAGTAAGATTGCTTGAACTAGTTTTGTGCCCCCAATGCAATATTTAATACAATATATAATGCAATATACTGTGCAGAACAACATGCAAAACACATTAACTTTACTTCTTCTAAACAAGTAAACTGATCTGTTGTGATACAGAAACTGCTGACAAATTACAAACTGAAACATATTCTTATGAATAACTGCAGCTTTTACATTCTACATGTTTTGTCGTTTTGTTTTTGCACTTATTGTCTGTACTGTTTACAACGTGTATTATGTAGGTTGTATTGTTTACAAAGTTTTTGTCTTCCACTGTTTAGTTTAATAAAGTAATCTTAACTAAGTAAACGCCACTGACAGGGTCAACAGGGTTCAGCTAACTTTTATAGAGACATCTTTGTAACGAGTTCGGATTTGCGGGTTTTTCGAAAAACTCATAAAAGTTGCCGCCGTTAAACGCATGCACTGCGAATTACACATTGTAAACGCAATTCATAACTTACCTTGCAGTCTCTGAAACTCGACACGTTCATTCTCACAGCCAGAGGTTTCCTTCAGCGATGCCAGACAGACTCGTGAGCTTCAGCCTTTGAAGTCGGATCTTTCCGATGAATCATTTGAACCGACTCACAACACCCGCTCTGAATGATTCATTCACGAATCGGACTGAATGGTGCTGCTAGCCGTTCTAGAGAAACAGCTTAATCATTGAATCAAGAGCGGTCTTTTTCGAACACGTCCGACTCGCATGGTTAACAATATTTTCAGCCAAGATGTGCAACTGAAAATTGTTTTATAGGTTCTAAATGGCACTGTGAACCGAATAATAAAATGAACTGGGACACACATTACAACAAACACACTTTAATAATAAAACTTAATAGAAAATGTGGTACTAGACCGTTTTAGAGCATAATATGCCAAGATGTCAGGAAACGTTATAACAAGAACGCAGCGATTCGTTTTCTGAACCAGTCCTTTGAACTGTTGAACTAAACAGTTCAAATGAACCGATTCTTCGCGGAAATGAATCAGACTTCCCACCGCCATTGTCTTCTCCTGACAGTGAATGCAGCGGCGCAGGGTTAACGTTTACACTGGCTTCCCTACTTCCAAAGGTAAAGATTTGGTACAGTTTCCCTTGTATATGTATTTTATTGTGTTGTAAAGTCTGAAAAGATTTGCTTAATGGATTTGAAAGATTTCCATTTCCTGAAGCAAACACCAGTAAAACAAAGCTGCAAATGAATAGTGGTAAAGTTCTAGGTAAAAACTATACAGACCAACACTGAAATGCTAAATGGATAAATATATGTAAAATAAATAAATAAAATTAACTATGCAAATAATGCAAGGAAGAAGACTAAATCACAATTCATAATGCAATTGTTTTTTTGTTTTGTTTTTTGAGACTTCAAAATTCATATGCAAATATTACAATCTTAATGGGTTAGCTTTTGAAAGCTGACCAACATTTCTTAAGTTAAAAAAAGCTTGAGTAAATGTGAATAAAGCCTGCAAATTAAGTAGTGCAAATGTCTGTAGAAAACCCCTTTGGAGCACAGTAGTCTTCATTTGTAACAACTGCATTGTTTTATTGCCTCTGCATACATCCAATACCCTATATGCAAATTTGCAACATGAAGCATTTTCAAGAGCCAACAACATATTTTTAAAAATTAGGATTCATTTACTTTACATATAATACATTTTTCACACATGTTAATAAATATACCATAAAATCTGTCAAACATTTTACAGTCTAAATAACTATCGTTGACCATGTGTAGGTTTTCATTCACAGTTATCTGTACTTACAAGAAAAACAAACAAAAATAAAACAATCTGTGCCCATCTATACAGCATAACGGTGACTAAAATGAAATGTACACTTAGGAAAAAGGCATGTTCATTTGCGATATTGATGTTTCGAGCATAACGACGAGCTCCCGCTGTTAATCAGCACTGGTGTCGGTCGACAGTGCTGGAACGTTTTCATGTGATATAAAACTTGACAAAGACAATTATAAATAACACACTCTGCAAAGATAAGAAAACTCCGTGGATGTGAAGAGCTGTTGCATGAGAAGTTAAAAAAGGCATGTTGCTCCAAACCTGGAGGAAATGGAAAGTACGACACCAAACCTTGGTGGCAGATAATTAAATGGGAAATTGGACACCATTTCTCCATCTGATTTGATACTAAATAAAGTCAGAAAAGCTGTGGGTGCCTTAACTGTTCTTGAAACCACTGACCAACCAACAAAATGCATAATGCATTTGATTGTATATCAATGCATATTGGGTGTATATGTATATTCTATATGTAACTATCTGCACTGATGAAGTTTATATACTAATATATACTCCACTGCTTTATGTAAACTATAGTACAAGTATCAGATATTCATCATGGATTATAAATGATTGTAAACTGATTTTAGGATATATGTGTGGTAACGCCATTCAAGACAAATGGAAACCAACATCAGTGAAGTACGTAACATCGAGACAGTTGCGCTCCCAGCGTACACCAATATCTCTAATATCAGGTGGCTACTGACAGATTTGAAAATTGTACAATTGTCGATGCTACAAACACAACACGTGTCGGTCACTGATGGGTGTCTGTGTCAATTACAGAAGTCCATCACATGCTTATCTGTGCACCACACCTGAAGACTTCATTCATCTGTTGCATGGAGGTCTGAAGCTTATAGTGTGTTATATTAAACAGGAGAGGAGTGCGAAGCGAGAGAAAACAGCTGTACTTTTTCAGTCAGTAGTCAAGGTAGAAAACACATTATAGGAAATCAAGTCCAAACGTCTCTCACCCATGAAAACGTAGCAGTTGTTTGACCAGACGTTCACTGAAAAACAAGACTGGCTTTTTGTAGGATCATTAGTCTCAGACTTCCTCAACGTCAGCAGGATTGATGTGTCCCTTTTCAAGTCCAAAAAATAAAAAATATATATCTGTAAATTGATGCATTCTCCCATTCTGAATGAGAGAACGTCTTGCACAGAACCAATGCCTTGGCTGCCGAGGGACAAAACGTCCTGAGTCGTGCCAGGAGAACTCATAAACATCATAGTGCTCATGAGTGGATTTGTAAACGTTGTTGACATGCCCAATAAGATCGACGGGAGAGACAGACCGATTCTTTCTGCAATTTTTTACACTCCCTGCAGTGAAACTGGGAATCGCTGGCGGTCAGAAGCGTTTCGCCATTGTTATGCTAAGCCCAGTTGAGGTTGAAACCCTTAGAGAGCATCACCGCCTCCAGGTCTTTATCCTCTTCTTTCTCCCTGAGTCTCTGCTCATCCAGCAGGGCCACCAGAGAATCTCTTTGCTCGACTACCTCCAACATCTCATTCAGAATCTGTTTCTCCTCCGCAAGTTCCTCCTCGGTCTTCAGATGGTCTGCAGAGAGTGAAACATTGATTTAAAGAGAATGCGTATCACTTCTTTTGGTGTTACAATATGATCAGGCCTATACTGGAATACAAAGTACCATCTACTGCCATGCGTTCTCGCAGTTCCTGTTGCAGTCGACTCTGTCTGTCCTCCAACTCCAGCTCACGAGCACTGCAGAAAGGAAGGGGGAAGTAGAATTAAATGGAAGAAGAGAACAAATGATTGTTAAACTATTGAGTTTGTATGAGGTATTTTGAAAAATCTTTTGATGATCAAAGATAATGGATTCCTTGATGTGACACATGGACATCAAGGAACCATCTGCCATTAAAGCACCATAATGTTTGGTTTATGCTTGACGGTCCACCCAAACATGAGAGTGTGGATGAGCAGATGCACTTTTAAGCCACATGCTTTGAGAAGAACTAAAGCAAACGTTAAAAGCACTGTTGGATCTTCTGTTATTTGGTTGATCAGTTGTTTCTGTTATTAAACATTTTGCACTGTTATTAAAATTCTGTCTAATAATGAATTATATTATGGTTGCTAAATGGCCAATTCTAAAATCCTTTATGATTTTGTCTAAATTAATTAAAATAATGAAGTTTAAAATCAAACGATTTAAATGCTACAGGTGAATTCAGGCATCACAACCTTAAAATGCACATTATGAAAAATGAAAATTCATTTTGAGATAAGCTAAAGATGACATTTTCAAGTCTTATTAAATAATAAGTGTATTAAAGATTCTACATTTGGAAAAATCTAAATGTGAAAATATAGGAAACAAGCATGCACAATTACATATCCAATACTGACCGACTGAACTTAAGAGCTGATGACAAATATGATACAGCCTATAACTGCAAAACTGTTAATATCTCCATATGGAGAGCCCACAATCTCTTGATGAAATTGTCTCTTTGTAATTTGGGTTTTGTTGATGAAACTGTCTTTTGCCTGAGCGTATGGGCCATTTGGTGCTCATCTTTGCAAACAAACATGCACAGCTGATTGCATCTGAGGCACAGTCACTATGTAATTGCATCTCGTATCCACACAATGTGAACAGAACAAACAGAATCAAATAAATGCATCTGGTATAATCTTTCAATGTCGTTGCCTACAGCGAATTTGCCTGTTAGAGACCATCCGTTCTTGTTTAAAAAGACTAATCATTTGTTCCTTTTGTACAATGAATAAAATCATCCAGACTCCAGACAGTAAACTGGAGTTTGTTAATATTACATCTTGGGGAAGAAAAAAAAAACTGAGAAAAAAAAATATAATAATAAGATTTACATACATTAACATGCAAATTCTTAACTTTAACTTCAAATGTACAAGTCAAAACACCCTAATCCTAAAAACCTCTAGTTGGATCAGCAAATATTTTCATCCCACTTTTGGCTGTTGTTTTGAAGAACAGTGTAATGGAAAATGAGTTGATTGTAATAGATTTTTGGACACGGAGAAATATTAACACAAGAATACGAGTTGAATTCATTTTTTGTTTTTTAAAAACTAAATAAATAAATAAAATTAGCTCTAGTTAATTTTTTTTTATAGTTTGAAAAAAGTTCTTAATGTAGATAGGCTAAACTAATTAAGTCAAAATTAATGAGCATTAAGAAATAAATTAACACCATTAAGAAATGGGAAATGGGCACTGAAGCTTAAATTGGACGTCTACTCACAATATCATCAGCTCCGATTCATAGCGCACCAAGGCATTCTTCTCCTGGACCAGTTTAAACCATTCCTGCATCAGCTTTGGATCGTCCTTTTTACCCATTCCTGCAAGAAACACATTGGAGAAGCATGAGGAACCTGGCAGTTAACCACTCGCTGACACAGACACCCACACAGCAAATGCGATGACAGCCAAGCCAGGATGTCTTTGTCAGGGCAAGAGTAGGGTGAGAATGTGGAAGACCGTGATGAGGTCGAGCCTGCCGGGTTCACAGAGGATGGCGTGGAGGTATGGCTTCTGATTGGACAGCATATCATGATCAATGCTGATCAGACTGGACTTCTGAGGCATTTGGTCTTTTTCAAGGCAGTGGATATTGCTTCAAACTTTAAAAGCTTCTTTTGCAGGACTACGTTTATTAATTATGAAAGCTACCCAATAATCCAAGGGAATGTCTTAGGTATATGTCGAAAAGTTTGAACATTTAAACTTGGTTTTACCTTTGTGGGTCCATAGCTTGCTCCAAGGAGGTTTCCTCCAAAAATTATGCAAGTTACCCAACTGTATACCATTTTAGCCCGATGCCATGGCAATAATTATGGCACATCATAAAGAAATGTTCCAGTTTCATTACAAGTTCAGCTCTACTGACAGCAAGGTTGGCAAAGTGTTGATTGCCACAAGAATTAATTTTGACTCTTCTCTCAGGAAGCATTCTATCTTTGCTAAAGAACTTATGCTAATTATTATTTCTTACAAATAATATATAAATATAAATAAGTATAAATAACACGTGACAGTTCAAAAGTTTTTGTTTCTTGTTGCTGCTGCTGTTTTTAAAATTTTTTTTTTTTTACTTTTATTCAACTAGTATACATTAAATTAATCAAAACTGACCATAAAGAAATAGTTATAAATTATTTCTATTTTGATTAAATGCAGTTTTTGAATTTATTAAAACAAAAATCTGGATTTTGCTTTTTTATATATAATTAATAAATAATAAAATACATAAAATATATATGATTATTATAAATACAAATCTACTTCTTTTGTAAATATTTATATATATATATATATATATTTATATTTATATATATATATATATATATATATATACACACACACACATGTACACTCTATGCACATGTGTGTATAAAAATAATCTTATTTTTATTTAAAATTACACAAATAATTGCAATATTTTTTATTAAATTAACAAAAAGTATTTTCTCTAGATAAAAGTCATTTATCATAATTCTGGATACATTCCACACAGAAATGGCTAGTATCACACTGGCTTTTCAACAGCTTTAAAATGGCTTTGAACTTTAATGTTAATTTTATTGTCCCACTGTAAGTGCCTTAACACAACTACAATTTTTGATTGTTATAAAAACAAAAAGGACAAGTCAAAATAACTTTCTGTGGTAATCAACATTATGCAGCAAAAGCTTGCAGATAAAACTTGCATTGAACCTGGAACATTCCTTTAAAAAGCGCACTGGGTTGAGCTCATGACTCAATATTCTTTACCTGCAGTGCAGTTAGACGTTCCTCTAATGTTTGCATGAGGTAAAAAGCCTCATGGCATGTGCTGAAGTCCATGATCAAAGCAGAATACTGTCAACCGGATGTATGTGGGAACAACTGTACATGTCAGCCCATGCTAGTACAGTCCCAGAAGTCGATGAAAACCCCATCTCATACATAAACACACGAGTGAAGCCAAGCGCTGAGATGAGCCATCGCACGGCAAACCTGGATGGAGCATGCCGTACTTAGCTGACAGAGGCGGCTCTTGCAACACAAAAGGGTAAAAGACAGTACACACATAAATCGAACGGCTGTGCTCGCTGTTGCCGGCCTTGACTGTTTTAACACACAGAGGCAAAGTAGAGGTCCTCAGACATAAAAACAGTGAGAGACAGAGACAAGAGGACAGGGAGGCTAAACTTATCCAGTGGGACGCACTGTGAGTGGCCTCCCCCACACTCAGCCCCATGCTTTCCCCAAGAGGAACAGAGAAAGAAGAACCACAGTTAGAACAGTCGTAGAACAGCCACGCAAACGTCGTGCCAAAAGGGCACTGTTATACACAGGCATAGTTACACACACCAGATTACAAACGGGACAAAAACACAATGTTGCCAAACTTCTGTATTTTTATATATATATACACACACACACATGTACACTCTATGCACATGTGTGTATAAAAATAATCTTATTTTTATTTAAAATTACACAAATAATTGCAATATTTTTTATTAAATTAACAAAAAGTATTTTCTCTAGATAAAAGTCATTTATCATAATTCTGGATACATTCCACACAGAAATGGCTAGTATCACACTGGCTTTTCAACAGCTTTAAAATGGCTTTGAACTTTAATGTTAATTTTATTGTCCCACTGTAAGTGCCTTAACACAACTACAATTTTTGATTGTTATAAAAACAAAAAGGACAAGTCAAAATAACTTTCTGTGGTAATCAACATTATGCAGCAAAAGCTTGCAGATAAAACTTGCATTGAACCTGGAACATTCCTTTAAAAAGCGCACTGGGTTGAGCTCATGACTCAATATTCTTTACCTGCAGTGCAGTTAGACGTTCCTCTAATGTTTGCATGAGGTAAAAAGCCTCATGGCATGTGCTGAAGTCCATGATCAAAGCAGAATACTGTCAACCGGATGTATGTGGGAACAACTGTACATGTCAGCCCATGCTAGTACAGTCCCAGAAGTCGATGAAAACCCCATCTCATACATAAACACACGAGTGAAGCCAAGCGCTGAGATGAGCCATCGCACGGCAAACCTGGATGGAGCATGCCGTACTTAGCTGACAGAGGCGGCTCTTGCAACACAAAAGGGTAAAAGACAGTACACACATAAATCGAACGGCTGTGCTCGCTGTTGCCGGCCTTGACTGTTTTAACACACAGAGGCAAAGTAGAGGTCCTCAGACATAAAAACAGTGAGAGACAGAGACAAGAGGACAGGGAGGCTAAACTTATCCAGTGGGACGCACTGTGAGTGGCCTCCCCCACACTCAGCCCCATGCTTTCCCCAAGAGGAACAGAGAAAGAAGAACCACAGTTAGAACAGTCGTAGAACAGCCACGCAAACGTCGTGCCAAAAGGGCACTGTTATACACAGGCATAGTTACACACACCAGATTACAAACGGGACAAAAACACAATGTTGCCAAACTTCTGTATTTTGTGCTGCTGCATTTAAAGTCAACATGAAATGTCCTATGCTACCATTTTACTTCTATATTGTTATATTTCAACCCGAAATGTATTGAGAAAACTCAATATCAAATGCAATAATACCAAGTTTGGAGACCTCACTTTCCTATTGTGTTCCTCTTACACATGCTATCCTTCATAACAAATCATCAGTGTTATGGAAACATATGAACACAGTGAATATAGTCTATGATACAGCTCTGTAAAGGAGCTGTGAGGTTGGGACAGGTAAAACGCTGACAGTTTTAGAACTCGGGAAGTGCAAACGACAATCATGCTGTTATTTGAATTCACACTTACAGTCAGCAGAGCAGTTTCCCCCAAAAAACACAGTCTGTCATTGTATTAGGTCTGCTCTAATGTACTAATTGAAAACGCATTTCATGCTATGCTTATCCTCTTTAGGAAGTCTGAAGTAAAGTGTGTAGAAAATAAAAGTAGAACCTTGATATGTAAAACCAAAATATGTGCCTAACGTATGCTGCTACTGCTGAGGGCTGGGTGATATACCAAACATTTACCACATATTCAATTTTTTGTTGCTGATATAGAATTTTAATAGCATACAATTCTGACAGTGAGGGCAAATTTTATTACCTCGCCTGAATCAATTCTTTCAAATTTCCTGACTCAAATGCTGATTTAACAGTTTATTTGGGTCAACCGTTCATGAAAATCCTTGCATGGCACATACACAAGTTTTAAAATGTAATACATAGTAATCCTGTTTATTACATGTTTGTGCATATAAATAAAATTAAAATGTTGCTTCTTGCTTAAAGCATACTGAATCTACTTGGCAACTACATAAATAAAATAAAATATGCTACATCTGTTACAGCTAGCTACATCTGACTATTGAAGCATTTTGGATTTGTGCTGCTACATTTTATTGGCACACTTTTAGTTTCAAAACTAGCATTAAAACCGAAAATCGCGACTTAGTGATTTAGGCAAAAATTTTAAGAAATTACTATTTTTTTCTTTAGATATAAATAACTCTAATTAATAACACCACTAAATAAAAAAATGCTTTGCGATACAAAATCAAATCCTGAAATTAAAAATGAAATAAATCAAATATATTATAACATTTTGCAGCAAATGCACTAATTTAGATATGGAATCGAATACTGGCAAAAGGCCTGAAAAATATCATCCAGCCCTACTGCTGCTACAAATTTGTCTGTACATCAGAAGCACTGACGCAATCTGCTGGGGGAAATCCGCTAAGCCTGGACACACATGGGCAGGGGAGAGGAGTAGACTTTGTAGTTGAAGGGCAAAAGCAATACTCCACAGGTCCAGTGGATTGTCAAAGTGACGCCGCTGGCCATGTTGTTATGGTAACATAGCTGGCCGGCAGCAAACATGACGGGGTTTACGTTACCTTCAGGGGCACAGCAGGGGCAGAGGTACAGGGCTCTTCGGCGAGGGGTCCCGACATAGGGCTCAACTTCCACAACACAGGAAAGGAATGTGTGAGAGAGAGATAGCAGAGAGAGAGCAGAGTGGTGGAGGTGACCAGAAGGGTGAAATCAAGAAAGAGGAGAGAAAGAAAGAGATGTGGAAGAGAAAAAAAGTGAGGAGCGAAATCAAAAAGAGAAAGAACTCTGGGGAGAAACTGAAAGCAGCAGTGCGATGCGACATATTGCGGGGGAAATGACACGGGACAGAGCGCAAACATGAATGAACTGAGGAAGAGAGGGGAAATATCACGCTACTCTTTGAACTTTTCCTTCTGTGCACTACTGAGGGCAAATAAGTGGCGGCTTGAGAGCAAACCTAATGTCTGCACAGGCTACATCAAAGAAGTACAGTATGCAGCTGTAGCTCTCCTGAAAAATTTGGATTTTAAGAGCTAAGGTTGAATTATTATATCATCTTTGGGGATGTTCCTGGATTTCTCAATCCTCTCACTACGTCTGATGTGGAAATCAGCCATCTATATGGCGGGTGTCAAACCTCTAGACAACAAAAAAGCATCAAATGAATGTCAGAAGAATGATTGGCACCAGAGTAAAGGTCCTTGCACACTGAGTCCGAAATTTTTGTATGCGTTTTTCCGGTTTTTTTTCGTATTCGTTATCCTTTCCTATCAAAATGCTTGCTACGGATGTGAAAACGCAGAAAATCGAACCTGGTCCGAATTTTTTTATGACGGACGAAAGTTTCGGAGGCAGTGTGTAAACGTGATTGACACAACGTGAGGTCGTATTTATTTTTCAACGTGCGAAAATTTCGGATGAAAAATTCGGACTCAGTGTGCAGAGACCTTAAAGGATTTCGCCAGTGGAGAAAATTAAAAGGCAGATCCTTGTACAATTCTTTGTGCTCTGCATAGCTGGGACAGAATGGTCTTAAAATGCTGAACCAATTGGATATGTCGTGTAATTCACAACAAGGGACTATCGCAGAGGAGTTTGTCAACGCAACCCTCGAAAGCTCGACTGTGACCTTGTCTGCATTCAGAAACTAATCAGCACTTATACAACACCGTCTTATGTGAAGGCTGAGGACATATTTAGTTTCCTATTCTACATAAGTGACCCCTATTCTGACCTCATCAACACATACAAAGCAAATAAACATTAAAAGGGGCATTTCATTGAAAGGATCTGTTTCAATCTAACATGCACAGAGTACTCGTCTTAAACAGCGTCATCTCATATCGCTGGCTCATCCTCTGCAATTATGGGAAGAATCAGGGAACTAATTATCCATGAAAAGCAACAAGCTCACATTCTTATGCAGACATGCATGGAAACGACCCACGGGAAACAGGCCATAAACAAACGCACACTGATGCAAAGTTACATAGAAATCAACAAAAGCTTTCAGAAGTTTTTTTTAATTGGCTACAAAAATGGGGACAACTATATTGCTTTGGATAAGACAACCAAGTTTTCCAGCCAAGAGATGGCTTAGGCCTCAGAACGCTGACAGTAATTATGCAAAGTGTTTTTGGGCTCGGATTACAAGAAATCCTCCAACTGTTAGCAGGTCCGCCACCAACTAGTTTGCAATGAAAAAACTCACTTTTACAGGAAAATCAATCTAAGCGAACAGCTCACATATTAGCCACTTAATCTCTGTGCAACTGTTACAAAAATGAAAGAAAATGTAGCCACAAGAAGCAATTATGGGGTTGCAGCATTAAAACGGCAAACAGAAGTCATACGAACTTTGTGAATTTAGCTTGCTTTTGGATTTCAAATGCTTTTTCCATCAACGTCTTGAGACCATTTACTAGAACATTTATAAAATGTGCATATGTTTTACTTACCTGGGTTTCCTAATTAAACAATACTCTTTCTTAGCATATGTAAAGACTACCACCTGAAATAACCCTTGCTTTTTGGCATGCTACGTTTAAGAAACATCTTGTTGCATTGAAAAAGATTCATAAGATGATTTAAACAATGCCTCAATGTCCTTTAAAAACAATGGGTAATTTATACACCATCACAAACAGCGCTCCACGCTATCTCCTGTCTGCTTGGGTGATCTCGGCATGGCTTGCCTGGAACTTCACAGTGTGATCAATGAAACGCCACAAGACAATACACTCATTCAAACAAGCACTCAACAGATCCACAGGGAACACAGTGAAGACGAACCACACATGATCAATCGCAATAGACACAAGACCTTTCCGACTTCCGGAATGATGCACTGAACACTGGGATCTCTCGGGGCCCGGGGCCCCTATGCAACAACTGAGCAGGTATGGGAGGAAAATATGAAAGCTAATGTGCTGGCGGGTAAAGCAGACAGCCATAGGCTCTACAAAAGGCTAGAGGGGAGGGCTTAATCAGGATTGCAAACATTTATTTGATTGTTTAAGCATTTAGGATTTCAGATGCTGCTGTATATTAATAGCACATTTTTAGTTTGAAAACTAAGATTAAAACTGAAAGCAAATATAATGCCAGGGCCATTTGCAAGCGAGCAATTTTTGAGCAAAAACTGATACCAAATAATATATTTTTGCTTTGATTCTAATGATTGTCACTTAAAAAAAATTGTTTATTACATGTAATAATTTAGTTTATAAAAATGATACAATCATTCAAAATGAAACCTGTATATGTAAGAAAATATAAATAACTAATAATAATTCATTCTTAAAATGTAATTTAAAATACAACTATAAACATTTCATAAAATGTATAAATTACATAAAGTGAATTAACATTAAGCAGGATAAAATGACAGTATTTAGGCAGAGGGAAGACTCAGTAAGTAAAGGGGGAAAAGAGAGGGCGTCAGATGTTAGTCCATTTCAAGCAACAGATTTGAAATACATACCGCCCAGATGCAAATCCAGGATCTCACTGTAATTAGACTCTCCCCAATAGTCTATAATAAGGATATATTAGAAACATGTTACTGCACACACAGGCACAGCCAGTAGCTTCAAGTCATGCACATGTTGCACACAAACACACACGCTCACACAGTAAGGTATGCCGAATACACACTACCCACACTTGTTATTTGGCATGTAAACATGTAGTTAATTGCATTTATATTGCATGTCCTGTAATGGTAGATGAGCACATAGATTTGTTGCACTGCTGTTTTCTGCCACAAGGGACACAACAGATTTTGGAGTGCGAGTATGTTTTTGGATCTAAAACCCTATCTAAAACTCCTTTTATTCAATGTATATCAAGCATTTTAACCCTAAATGCTACAGATAATCTGTACGGCCTGTGAATATGTGTTATGCTAAACAACAAAACATGAACATAGCATTTAGCAGATGACTTGGGATGCTTTAGGATTCACAAAATGGAATGATATAGATCCAAAATCAAAGAAACAGTCTATAATACTTTTAAATTTATAGTGGCTCACATCCAGTGCAGCATACAAATCTATGTTTGGCGTGATCGGATTGACGGGGCATGCAGCTGAGACACACGCGAGGAGAGACGATGTTCGGCATGAGAATGGCACGATACGCTGAGACGACTACAACAACTACTAGAGTTATTATCACCATGGATACCTGAGCGCCTCTTACGCTGTTTTGGACTAACACTAGAGAGAGTGTACAACCCTTAGAGAGAGTAAAGGATAAAAAGAGATTAAGAAACACTAGATATAAAAGATGGGATGGAGGGGAGTGGGGGAGGTGAGAGAGGAGGCAATAATTCAGAATTTTTCTTTTACTGCCTATAATTACCCTACTGTCTGGAAATTACAAATCAACTTCAGAAATTTTAATTTGTTACAGCTACAGCTACTTGATTTTGTTAATATTATCTGTTCACATTTTTCAACAGGAAACCATTTTCTTTGAATCCAATAATGAAATAGATTCTAGTAATTCTCTCAGCTGTTACTGTAGCACCCATCAAAAGGAAAATCCAAATTTGTGATAGCTTGTCATATGCAATTTAATGCAGAAAAAATAAAATATAAGAACAGCCGTGGTATTGTCAAAACGTTAATTTTGTAATACCTTTATTTGATTTATTAGAAGCATTATATACTGCAGATGTTTGAAAACAAAAATCTTTCTAATGTGTATATACACATATATTTACATTTTCAAATAAAGACTTCAAGACTTAAAAATACTCTTGAAGACTTCTAGTGAATAGGGATTTAAAAAAAAAACAAAAAAAAACTATTTTACAGTGATTGCAGGGGCAGATGCAATTGTATGTCAGGTACAAATCCTTGGATTTAGTAGATTTAAATAATTTATAAATAAATGTAAAAATGTGTCCAGGAAAATGAAACATGCCTTGAGATTCATTTGCAGCTCAACTGGAGAGCTCAAAAAGCAATTCTGGCATATGAATTATTTAGAGCTGAGCATAACTAGAAAAAAAGACATTCACTACCAAAATGTCTATGACTTTTTCATGACTTCCAAGGTTTTAATAATTATAAGTGCCTATTCCAGGCCTGGAAATCACAATTTTAAAATTCCCTGACATTTCCAGGTTTTCCATAACCATGGGAATTCTGAATGTAATTCTAATGTTATGTCAGTGTGGAACCCGACAGAGTGTTATAAATTTAGTAATGAGATAAAAGCTTCTAGCAAAATTAATGTAAAAAAAAAAAAAAAGGCGTTACTTTACTATGAATACTAAAAATACTAACTAACCCAAGTTAACGAAATGGCTTTTAATCACAAGGAAAATTATGCATAAACATCATTTTACATCCTTTTAAAGGGGTCATATGATGCAATTTCAATTTTTCCTTTCTCTTTGCAGTGTTACGAGCTCTTGGTGCATAAAGAAGATCTGTAAAGTTGCAAAGACTAAAGTCTCAAATCCAAAGAGATATTCTTTATAAAAGTTAAGAGTCAGCCACTCCTACCTAAAACGGCTGTTCTTTTTAGCAACATCATATGACCCCTTTAAGTCTGAACTGTAGTTTGAAGCTAGAATCTAGAAAAAACAGCAAGCAGATCTAACCTAAAGGTCAAAGTATAACTACATAGAAAAGCATGAGTTATGAAAATTTGCTCCACGGCTTTAACCCTTCAGCAGCGCATCTGAGGAATAAAGTGAGACTGAAAGAGAGAAATACCTGCTTCCCCTCGCAATGCCTTTTCCACAGCGACACCTCTCTCCTCTAGCTGCCTCTGTTTCTCTTCCACCTGCTCCAGCTGCCTCTGAATGATCTGAGGAATCAAAAAGCAGCTTCTAGTTAATTTTTTAATTTCACACTCTATTCCTCTGCAAGGTGATGGCTGAAATTCAGCTTTCTGACAACCTCATGCGAAAAAGTCATTAGTATGCTTTCACCTGGGCTCTGTGGAGTCTCTTGAGCTCCTCTTGCTTGGCCTGCCTCCGTGCAGCTTTCTGTACTCTTCTTGTCAACTTGGCATTGAGTTCCTCCTCTGTGTATGTTTTCTGCAACAAGAAATTAAGAATCAGATCCAGCGCTCCTGTAAGCTATGTCCAGGTCAGTTGTAGATGGATCCTTGTCTGGCATCACATGGATGTCTACGGCAGGGGTTTGTGTAATAGAAGACTACAGCAGAGTCTAAAACAAAGTCTAATGTCAAAGCTACGTAACTTCTACAACAGACTGAAGTACTTCTGACTTACAATTTTAAAGCACCTCTAGATGCGATTTTGGCAGTATAATCAAGTCATAATAATCAAGCATATCACAGTACAAGTAACTTTTATCACAATAATGGTACTATGTGTGTGTTTTTGCTGGAAATTCAACAAATAATTAAACACTGAAGTTCTTCAGAATATTAAGTACTCCATTCTCCATTAAAAAATAAATTATTCACAAATTTACTACAACTGAAATTAGCACAAACAAGGGACTCAAAAATGTAATACTAACAAAAAAAGTCTTGACTCAAACTTTAAATCTGCAGACTAGATAGATAGACAGACAGACAGATAGATAGATAGATAGAGTTGTCTGTGCATTTCATTGATATATTGCACACAGCCAATAAATTGTAATAAAGTGTAAGACAGACATAGAAAAAAAATATTGACTGGAGAGATTCTTTAAGAAAGTATAGTAGAAGCTATGAAAGAAAAACAAGTTGCATGTAAACCAGTGAGGTACACAGTATAGAAAATAGTATGCAGGTAAACAGCCAAAAAGCCTTTTGAGAATGTTATGTGATACAGTTACATCCTCCAGCAGAAAGGTGGCGCTTTAGCCTTCACAATGCTGCAGAAAACAGTTAGTAATACAATAAAGCAAACATATTTGGACCAACAATAAGGGGTTAGGCATGACGGTGTGATATGACATGCGTAAAACGGGTAGACCAATGGGAATTAATGAACACACTACCTTTGTGGCATATGATCTCTTGAACGCCAATGCATGAGGTACATAAACAGACTTAGAAAAATAAATAAAAAAAAGAAAACAAACAAAACAAATATTATGCAATTAGATGGGTTAATGTACAATTAAACAAAATCAGGATTCTACGGCAACACACAAACACAAGACTTAACATTTAAGGATGCTGGGATGAGTGCAAAAGTACAAATTAATGTGACTGTGTTTTGTGCAACACAATTATACTCAGGGTCCAAAATTAACATCCGCCAACCAAAATTTTTCTCATGTGGCAACACAAGCCAGGGTTCCATCCAAGGTTTTTGTACGAAAAAATATTTAGCGCTTCAAAATTGTTACCAATATAGCTGATGGAAATGCCATTTATCGATAAAATTTCTCATGTGTCGACATTATCTTTTTCCGTTTAACTTTAGCGCATAAATTCTATATCGATACTTTAAATGTGGCCAAAAAATTGTTTGGAAACACTTTTTGTCGAGAAAAGGGGCTTTAACGCAAATAAATGTAGTCACATGGCAGAATTAGCCTATAGGCAGCGTCCGTGTTCATGGTGTTGCTCAGGTTAAAGCATCGTTTCCCTGTAGTTCAAAAGCGCATTAAATCATATTCATATTATTAAATTGCATCTAAAATTAGTTTATATTTGTTAAGAAAAAGACAAGTTACCTCTCAAACATACTTATCTTAATTTGAAAATTAATTCATTTGGCTTGTTAGTAGCTTCTTATATTATTTTTTATTTTTGTTTTGTTCTGTTCTACCGTTAAATTTAAAGTATTTGTTGTGGAGTGAGGGGAGATAAAATAGCATGGTTTTCAATGTTTGGCTGACTGTATTTTATTATGACAATGAACAGGCTGCGTTGTCGAGTTAATAATGCTTAACTGCGCGAGTGAGGCGCCAGCACGATCACTTGTGTTTTTTTTTTTCCTTATAAAAGTGGAAACAACTTGCACCATGTCTACACCGGACGCGAGCAGTGCGGCAACTGTCGCGTCCGGTGTAGACACGGTGTTACTATATTCCTTCATTTCTGGTCATATGAGAGTAAGACATTATTCAAAACTATTCTAAATATTCCTTTATTTGTGTACATTCACAATAAAAACAAAACATTGTGCTTTTGTAAAATAAAGGAAACAAACAGGATGCCGCTTTCTCAAGAGCGCATCACAAAAATGAGCCGAAATTCTGCATTTAGGCTGCTAATTGTTGCAGTTTTTTTTTCTTTTGTTTTGTTAAAGGGGTCATCGGATGCAAAATTCACTTTTGTTGTTGTTTGAACAAATGTGTGTTGGAAGTGTGTGTACACATCCACCCAATAATAATAAAAATCCACCCAGTGTTTTTTTTTAAATCCCTATTTTAAAATCCCCTTTCTCAAATCAGGCTGTTCTGAGATTCCTGTCAGAATGACGTAGTTCTGCACAGGCCCCTCCCACGATAATTGATTGACAAGGCCGTCTTACCTTCGACCCGCCCTGAGTGAGCTGCCTGTGAGCTGTCCGCCATTGTGTCGACTCCGGTGCAGGGGAAGACAAGAATGTCTCCTAAGCGATTGAGATGTTTTGTTGTTGGATGTAATAATGAACATAGCAGTCGTCATTTACTCCCGACATCTGAGCCGCTGAAGATGCAGAGGATTAACGTTACTTTCATTTTTGAAGGGAATGTGCCCCTGATCTGCCTAAATGCATCTATGTTCGCGCGAATCATTCGTGATCCAGCTT